GAGTTTACGATTAATCTCTATCCATGAATCGAACCCATATCCATTGCTCCCTATCGGATGACACCTTTGGGATTAAAGGAGCTAAGGAAAGCAGTTGGACCATCTCTTGACTATTGGGTTTATCCGTTTAAGCACTTACCTTGGGGAGTCCCGGTCCTCTTCGTGAAGAAATATGACAAAACACTTCGGTTATATATAGACTACCGAAGGTTGAACCGAGTGACAGTGAAGAATAAATATCCATTGCCACGAATTGATGATTTATTCAGTCAGTTGAGGAGTTCTAAGTATTACTCCAAGATTGATCTTTGCGCAGGGTATCATCAACTATGGATCAAGGGGGAGGATATTCCTAAATAGCTTTTCATACCCGGTATGGTCATTTCGAATATACGATGATGTCGTTCGGACTAACTAATGCACCAGCAGCCTTCATGGATTTGATGCACAGAGTATTTTGGTCATACCTTGATCAGTTTGTCATTGTATTTATTGATGATATATTGATTTATTCACAGACCCAAGAGGAACATGCGCACCATCTTTCGGTCGTGCTACAGACATTGAGAGAGCATAAATTGTATGCAAAGATGAGTAAATGCGAGTTTTGGATGAAGAAAGTGAAATTCCTTGGTCATGTTGTGTCCGAACAAGGGGTAGCTACTGACCCCGCAAAGATTGAAGCCGTAATGAAATGGGAACCACCGAGGAATGTGACCGAAGTACTTAGTTTCCTAGGTTTAGCAGGCTACTACCGGAGGTTTGTAGAAGGGTTCTCAATGCTCGCAATGTCGATGACTTGCCTTATGAGGAAGGGAGAGAAGTTCGTGTGGACTCAAGTGTGTGAACAAGCTTTTTGCACCTTGAAGGAAAGGTTGACAATAACTCCTGTCCTCATTATTCCGAATAGTGGGAAGGGATATGATGTGTATACCGATGCTTCATTACAAGGATTGGGATGCGTGTTAATGCAAGGAGGAAAGGTAGTTGCTTATGGCTCGAGGCAACTCAAGATCCATAAGCAGAACTTTCCCACTCATGACTTGGAGCTTGCCACTGTGGTTTTTGCTTTTAAATTGTGGAGGTGTTACCTTTGTGGAGAAATTTTTTGAGTTTTTTTAGATCATAAGAGCCTCAAGTATATCTTCACACATAAAGATTTGAATCTTCGACAAAGAAGGTGGGTTGAGTATCTAGAAGATTATGAATTCACACTCAACTACCATCTGGGGAAGGCTAATGTAGTAGCAGATGCACTGAGTAGAAAGTCTCGGGGTGAAATTAATGTTCTTGTAGTGAAAAGGTGGAAGATGATTGATGCCTTGGAGGACTTTGATCTATGGGTGGATAGGGAAGAGAATTGTCCGTGCCTATTCAACCTTGTGGCCCAACCTACCCTTCAACGTAGGGTTGTGGAATTGCAATAGTTAGATCCTGGCTTAGCTTCGATTCGAGCTAAATTGGAGAATGGAGAAACAATGGAGGGTTGGTCTTTGAGAAATGGAGAACTGAGATATGGGGAGAAGCTATGTGTTCCCGATGATTCGTCCCTAAAGGAGGAGATACTTGGAGAGTGTCATCGCTCTAAGTTTACTATCCACCCCGATAACACAAAAATGTATAGGGACATGAAACGCCAATATTGGTGGAAGGGAATGAAGAAGGATGTGGCAAGGTTCATAGCACGATATGCATGTGCCAGCAGGTGAAGATCGAATATCAAAAGCCAGGAGGATTATTACAGTCTTTGCCTATCCCAGAGTGGAAGTGGGATCACATCAACATGCATTTTGTGTCGGGTTTACCACGGACGTCGCGCGGGACATAATGCAATATGGGTTATAGTTGATAGACTCACCAAGTCCGCACATTTCTTGAGTATGAAGACCACAGGCACTCCAGAGACCTTGAGCAAGCTGTATATCCGCGAGATCATGAGATTGCATGGAGTTCCACTTTCTATCGTATCGGATCGTGATTCCTGTTTTGTGGCGCAATTTTGGCAAAGCCTACAATGAGCTATGGGGGATAGAATTGCATTTTAGCACTGCTTTTCATCCCCAAACGGATGGCCAATCCGAGAGGTTGATACAAATTTTGGAGGATATGCTTCATGCTTGCGTATTGGACTTCAAGGGAAGTTGGAGTGACCATTTACCGTTGGTGAAATTTGTGTACAACAACAACTATTGGGCAAGTATTGGAATGGTTCCGTATGAAGCATTGTACGGAAGGCCATGTAGATCACCAACGTGTTGGTTAGAAGCGGCGAGAGTAGCTTGTTTGGGCCAAAAATTGTTCGGGAAACTATGGAGAAGATTCAACTCATCCGGGAGAGACTATGCATGACACAAACTAGACAGAAAAGCTATGCGGACAGAAGATGAAGACCATTGGAGCTCCAAGAAGGGGACTATGTTTTCCTCAAAGTGTCGCCTAAGAAGGAAGTGTTGAGATTCGGCAAGAAGGGAAAATTGGCTCCAAGGTACATCGGACCATTTGAAGTGATCAAAGCAGTGGGCAAAGCGGCGTATCAACTTTGGTTACCAGCTCAGTTTGTCAGGGGTACATGATATGTTCCATGTGTCAATGTTGAGAAAGTGCCAATTGGATATAACCCATGTCCTAGATTTGGAGGACATAGAAATTCAAGATGGGGCAACATATGAAGAACAACTAGAGAAGATTATCGATACCAAGGAGAAGGTGCTTCGCAATAAAGTCATTCAACTGGTAAAAGTCTTGTGGCAACATCACGGTGTGGAGGAAGCTACTTGGGAACCAGAGCTAGAGATGCGAGAGAAGTACCTTCATTTGTTCACTACCTAAGGTAAGTTTCGAGGATGAAACTTTCTTTAAGGGGTGAAATGTAAACCCCCACATTCTTATTTTCATATAGTAAAGTAATTATACTTTTGAAATGCTAATAGATGTAATGAAGTATGCATGAACTTTTTAGATTGTAAAAGTAAAGATAAAATGTTAGTTGAGGTAATAGGGTATGTTGTAGAAGTTTGGAAGTAGTCCGGAGTAAAAGCACACTTTAGAGAGAGTTGGGTAAAAAGGAATCTTGGACACTGCCTACAATTTTGGCCATAACTTTTTATCCTATTACTAATGTTACCTAAAATTTTTACAGTAGATAGTAGACATCTAGGTCTATAAAAGTGTATTTCACCAACATTTTCCAATTCGACCTCTAAATGGGCCACAACTGCACTGAAAGTTGGAGCAAAAATCTATCAGTCAAACAGTACCGGTACGCTTTATCTGAAGCTTTCCGAACAGTAAAACAATTTGGATTTTTGTGTTTTAAAACACCATTCTAAACCCCATTTGTCCCATTCTTTCATTCCATTCTCACCACAAACCTCTTAGAACCCTAGGAGAAGATAAAGAGAGAAAGAAAAGGGAGGAAGAAGGTCTTCAAAGCTTGGGCTTTTGATTTGGAAATCTTGATTACAAGGTAGGGGTTTTCTTTCATCCTTGTTTATGGAGGTTAGGGTATTTATATATATACGTTTTGCCTCTAAATGTTATATATATGATATGAAATCATCATCTCTTAGTCTTTTTTTGCAAAGATTACATGTTTTGAATAAAGTCAGGGTTGAATACCCATGAAATCTCTTTTCTTGCTTTAAAACCCTAGTTTTTGGAGAGTGATGGATTTTCTTCTTAAATTCTTCCTTTATTATTGATTTCAAAACTATAGTGCTTTTTGTTGAGTAATAAAATAATATTGTTGTGATCTCTTGTATTTTTCTTAATTGGTTATTGGAATTCTCACATGATAAATTTGGGGATTTTTGAGATATGCTTGTAAATTGAGAAATTGAGTTTGGTATTATATCTCTTATAAGTGTGGGATGACCATGGGTGGCCTTTGACTAGATATCGTAGAGTGGGTAGACGTTCTTCATACTCCGTGTGGGTTTGAACTTTTCCTACCACTCGTAGTGGGGTTAGTGCTTTGGTAAGTCTAAACCGCTATTGCTCATAGGTATCGGGACGGAGGGTTAGTATACTAATGCCTGGGTTGGATACGTCACTGCCATTGGTATGGAATACGCCCTTCGTAAAGGTTGGATATCTTTGAGAAGATTTGGGTGTGTGTGTGTGGGCTAGATGTTACTCAATGCGTTGACTCATGTGGATGCCTTACATCATGGTTGAGATACATGTATATATTGTTGTGAAATGTTCAAGTTATGAGTTATTGTTTATTCTGCCAGAAATGATTTTTACAAGAATCTTGGGAAGTATGGGATTCCGGAAGAACTTGTGAAAAACGATTTTATGGTGAAATGGATTATTAATTGTATATTGAGTTCTTTTATTCATTAAATTATTGTTGTTACTTAAACTTGAGATCTATTTCAAATGTCTCTGTTTTCTTCAAAAGTAATATATGGTATTTGTAAAATGAGACCGACCATTTTATATGTTTTTCTAAACCTTGTTCGGGTTTGGAAGAATTTTCCTACAGAGCTTCATGCTCACCCCCTACTTAACAACCTTTTCAAATATCCTCTCGAGGAAGAGCTGGGAGTCGAGGAGCCCAAACATTGGGAGACTTTGATAGATGGGAGCGTGAATCTCAAGGTGGACGCTTAGAGCGACACTTTCTTTTGTTCTAGACTAGGATATTTATTCAAAACATTGTGATGTCTAGTTTCTTTTGTTATTCCGCTGCGCTACGATAGTTAAATTTTTGAGATATAAATGCATGGTTGGGCAAATTCTTTGGATAATGTTTAAATTTTATGGATGAAAAATGAAGTCTTATTTATTTATGGATCATATTTGCTAACAGAGCCACCAACTCCACCAAACTACCCCTGCTTGATTGACGAAATGACACCAATTCTCCTCTGAACTGAATCGAACGACCACTGTAATCATGAAGCGGAAGGGCCATGTATCCTACTTCTTATTGATTTTGGTGCAACCATTCTCAGAAGGAAAAGAAATGATTTCATGACGCCAGAACATGTCACTTGGTGGGGTTGTCTTCTTCTATCAATAAATGTAGTATAGACTTTAGGACTTCATTATCAACTACAATTGCCGCCTGAAAAGCAGCAAAAAGATAAAAATGTTATTCGAAGGTCACAAGGAGGGACGTCTTCCGAAATTCAACAATGAAAAGGATAAACATATATTTGTTCTCTCTCTCTCTCTCTCGCGCGCGAACACACATTACAAACAGAGAAAATAGTAAATGCATGCACATATAATTGCCCCTGTATAGGGAGGCACAGATGCAGCTAGCGCCTCCTATGCTAAGACCGATTAAATCATGACTATATTGTCAAGCTTGCTGGAAAAATCCATGCATCAAGTCCCATGGTAAATCCCATTACAAAAAGTAACCTAAGACACAACATTACAGCCTCTGATCTTGCGTCCTGCCCTCAAATTAACATTAGTTACATTACCCTATAGTAAAATAAAATTTAACCTAATCTCTGTGATATCTGTGAGGATGATTTCTTGATTGGAGCTCCACCAAGGGGCCAATACTTATCTCCATCGGGCACATGTTGCAAGATATTCCAATATTGCTAGTATAACAATGCTAATCCCCCAAAACACATGAACATAAATTATGATAGTTGTGATTCTGGTTACTAGGTGATCCTTCACCAAAAGTCAAAGAATATCTCATCAGACAATAAACACAATGTTATGATAGGCAAACCCAACATACATGTGGCTTTCTGATCAGCTCCTCAAGAATTGAGTGAAGAGTTAACCGTAGTTCCTTAAAGAGGACAGCAGTTTGGGCAGGTGCTGCCATTTTTAACCAACCGTCTATAGTGACAAGTCCAGTCTGCAAGAGGAAAATGTCTTTTAGCATAACCATCACTCTGTTGGAACAGCAACAAAAAGGACCATCAGGAAAATTTGACACACATTGCTTTGATATATTGTACCATGTATGTAGGCTAGTAGGTGTCAAAAATGTTCATGTTACCTGCTTACATGTATATATTAAGAAAGAAATTGTGGATACAAAAATCAAATGACAAAAAAAAATAAAAAAATAACTGATACGGGTCCTACACAATTTGTTATATGATTTTAAGCACCTTAAAGCCTACTCAATTTACTCCAACTTCCCTGATCGTTAGGGACAATAGGCTCCATTTGGAACTCACAAACCACGGAAAGAAAAGAACATACAAAGAATGTTACTTACCATTTTTCTTGGCCTTGGAAAATTTTAGGGATATAAAAGAAAATTTTGCTCTTTTGTAGAAGTCTAATTTTCTTCATAAAACAATGAGGAGAAGGGGAGGAAAGGAAATAAATTTCTTGTCTCACAAACAGATTCGTTTCTGCCCGCCCCCCCCCCTCCCTCCCTTTTTTTTTTTCTAACTTGTACCACTTTTATTTCCTTCTACCTCGTGGTTTCTGAGAAATTGACTCATTTCAAAAAGACCTTCCGAAAAACACTCTTTCCCAGAAAAAGAACCCAATAAATCTAGCATTTTCACTGATTGTACTGGCAATTTTTGGATACCTAAATAACATTCATGATAGTTTGCTGTTCTGCCAAAGGTGACTAGCTGAAATAACGAGATCTGTACTATGAAAGTACTTGAACCACACTTTGTACCATTAGCATTTTCATCAGTCCTCACAGCTGCACAAACTTCATTAAAAGTAGACAGAAAAGATACCTGATGTTGAATATTTATGGTGCCACCGAAGAGCAAAATGGAATAGGGAGAGACGATGGTAGTATCTCGCAGAAATACCTTATTTGTTTCAACCTGAAAATATGATACATTAAGAAGATAATCCAAACCTAATCAATCACCTAACAAATTAACTGGTTAACCCACTACCAACTGAAATCAAATGTGAACGGGTTTGATCATCTTTAACAGCAAAACAACTGCCCATAGCAAGGCAAGAGAGAGGTAAGCCATTTTTTTTTTTCGAGAGGTAACCCATAAAATGTTATTAAACAAAGAGAACTGGACTACTAATTCAACTGCAAGACAAGAGAGAGGTAATCCATAAAATGTTATTGAACAAAGAGAACTCGACTACTAATTCAATTGAGGAGGCTGCTGATTCTTCTTACTCCCGCTCGTGCCTCTCTGGTACCGTATGGGGCTCGGGGCAAGCTGGATTTTTTGCTTCACTTAACGCCACAGAGGAAATGCATAAAATTGCACTTCTCACTACTTAGTGTAATGGAATGCATGGCACAAGAATCTATGAAATTCTTCCAGCACCTTCCCTCAACTCAATTCAACTCAACAAAATCATCCCAACACACTTGGGGTGTAAGATCCCGTACTAGAATTAAATAAGAATAATATTATTTTAATATTTGTCATAGCATAAATAAAAATATTGTAGAAATCTCGATTTGTTGTTGAAAGATTGATCATGAAGTTTGAGTTTTGGGCAAATTGACTTTCAGGTCAAACTTAGTTTCAAAGATGTTTAACTTAGAGAAAGGTGATTAAGTAATTTTATAAATATTTTTAAGTCAAAATAAGATTTTCATTGAATTTGGAAGATCGAAAAACCTTGGGAGAGGTAATATGAGGTGTATTAGAAGTTAGGAAGTATCCCGAAATTTAAACACATTTTAGAAAGAATTCGGATAGGAAGGAATTTGACACTATCTTAGTATTTTAGCCATAACTTTCTACTCTTAACTCCGATTGATTTGATTTGTGGACAGTAAAAACTGGACTTCAAGGGCTACAAAAGTATATTTCACAAAAATTTTCTAAATTAGCTTTTAAATAGGTCAAAATCGATCTGAAAGTTGAGGGTATACTGTTACCCGCGTCCGGACAGGAATAAACATGCATCCAGACACATTTGGCAGAAAGTTGGGCAAAGAAACACGCGTCTGGATGCACCGAACGGAGGGTTTCACGTCCCAGACCTATTTTGGGTGTTCTTTCCAAATTTTACATTATAAATACCTAAAGACACCTCCTTTAGCCCCATTTCATCAATTATAACCCTAGAGAGCCTTGGGGAGTAAGAAAAAAGGGGAGAAACACAAGATTGAAGAAAATTTTCACATTGGATCGGATCAAAGCCTCTAATTCTTCACACTCACTAAGGAAACAAGGTAGGGGTTTCTTCCTAATTTTGTCCATTGAGGCTAGGGTTTATATATATATATATATATATATATATATATATATATATATATATATATATATGTGTGTTTTGACTCTCAATCATAGATATTTGCTATGGTATCCTTGTTTCTTGGTGTTCTTGCAAATCATATCATGTTTTAAATGAAGTTATGATTTGATAACCATAAAATCCTTGTTTTTAATCTCAAAACCCTTGTTCTTCAAAAAATAGAGATTTTTCCTTGATATTCCATTGTTCTTAATTCAAAAACTCTAGTGCTTTATTTAGAATAATAAAATTATATCTTTTGATGATCTCTTGTTATTGTCTTGAGTTGTTATGTTGAAAAAATACATGTGAAATTTAAGGTTCTTTATTTACTTGTGATTTGAGAAATTAGTTGAGTATTGTATATCTTGTGTGGATGTTTGGATGAACATGGGTGACCGTTGACCAGGTATCGTAGAGTGGGTAAATGCGTTTTTTACTCCAAGTGGGTTTGAAGGTTCCCTACCATTCGTAGCGGGATTGGTGCCTTGCGAGGACCAAACTACTATTCGCTCACGTGGTATCGAGGCTGAGAGTTAGTATACTATTCCTGGGTTAAATTCGTCACGGTCGATGCGTCAGTATATGCCATTCTTAAAGTTGTGTAGCCTTGCAAGAATTGGGCGTGTGTATGGGCTAAGATATTCTCAATGTGTGTATTCATGTTAAGTCATACTAAATACCTAAGATACAATGTTGGTAATGAGAAGCTTGGATGGATGAAAACGTGGTAATGTTAGTTTTACTTTTTCATTTAATCTATTGCTATTACGTAAACTTGAGATCAGATATATTGGCACTGTTTTATTTCAAAAGTTATATATGATATTTTGTAAAATGTGACCGATCCGTTTTATATGTTTTCAAAACCTTGTTAAAGCTTGAGAAGATTTTTCTACAGAGCTTAGTGCTCACCCCTTACAAACCACATCTGCTCACCCCTTACAACCACATTTTTTTCAGATTATGATCTAGAGAAAGAGCTCGGATTGAATGAGCAGGTTGATCTTGAGACTGAAGAGGGTCAGTATGAGGATTCTGAAGTGGAGGCTTAGAAATTGGTTGAGTATTGTATCTCTTGTGTGGATGTTTGGATGAACATAGGTGACCAATGACCAGGTATCGTAGAGTGGGTAGATGCGTTTTTTACTCCGAGTAAGTTTGAAGGTTCCCTACCACTCGTAGTGGAGTTGGTACTTTGTGAGGATCAAACCATTATTCGCTGGTATCGAGGTTGAGGGTTAGTATACTATTCCTGAGTTTCTGTCGATACGTCGTTATACGTTCTTCCTAAAGTTATGTATCCTTGCGAGGATTGAGTGTTTGTGTGGGTCAAGATATTCTCAATGTGTGTATTCATGTTAAGTCATACAACATACCTAAGATACAATGTTGGTAATGGGAAGCTTGGATGGATGAAAACGGGGTAATGTTGGTTTTACTTCTTCATTTAATTTATTGCTACTACGTAAACTTGAGATCTGATAAACTATCATTGTTTTATTTCAAAAGTTATATATAATATTTTGTAAAATGTGACCAACTCGTTTTATATGTTTTCAAAACCTTATTCAAGCTTGAGAGGATTTTCCTACAAAGCTTAATGCTCACCCCTACAAACTACATCTTTTTCAAATTATGATCTAGAGGAAGAGCTCAGATAGAATGAGCTGGTTGATCTCGAGGCTGGAGAGGGTCAGTATGAAGATTCTGAAATGGAGGCTTAGAGATGTAGTTTTGATTATTGAATTTGGAGAGATTTTTGTGAAACAATATTTTTGTTAGTTTAATTATTCCGTTGCTAGATATTATTTAGTTTTAAATTGTAAGTTGGAGAAATTACAGTATTTTATTAGCTTTAGTATTTATTCTTTGTCAGATGGATGAATAGTTTATTATTTAATACTTATTATAGTTGCTTTCATGATTTGATGATTTTAGATAGTAATACCTTCCAGAGTAAATTTTCGAGCGTTACAGGGGGTTAGATACTTTATAGTGTTCTATTTAAGGTCATACTTTTTTCTCAAAACAAAAGTTATTAAATGCTTTACTATTTGATTTAAAATTAATTTTGGTATTCCTCTTCCATTCGTTTATCGTAAATAGCTATTACACTACTTTTTCTCATCGGGGCGATAATAGGCTGTCCATAAATATGTTAAAACCATTTAAGTCGATTATCTCCCAATTTATCTTCTAGTTCTCTTTCCTAATTGCATTTTTTGTACTTTTAGCATACATCCATCTTAGCTCATTGCCGTCATACTCAAATTTTAAACGTTTTGTTTCTTAGTTATCCCAACATTTAGGAACATTTTCTTTTTTGTCTTGAACTAAAAAACACGGATATGAACACGGGTCAAAGAAATGGCTAAGAAATAAATACCTATGTTTTATATGCAACTTATATGATTTAACACAAGTATAGATAAAATAATAGTGAATTTTTAGAATAAAAGATTATAGGAGTCATCATTACCTATTTTCTAAAATTCAATGTGTAACAAACATACACAATTACAATTATCACTCTCATTTTCTCCATTCCTCATTCCTCTTCATTAACAATACTTTTAAGCATCTTTTAAATACAACTTTAACATGATTAGTCTAAATAATTTTTTT